CAGGAATACATCAATTATCCATTTTACAGCCAGATCAATTGTCTCATGGGGAAGTTGAGTAAACATTTCCTTAATGTCATAAGTACGGGCTATTACCCCACATTTAGATAAAAGACCATTTCTTCTCGTTGACTTTAGTTATCTCATGTCGAAGGTCACCCATCGTTCTGAGATTAAAATGAGGAACTTTGGTCTTTTTTATCAATGAGTTGAGGGCTAAGGATAGGACCCAAGATGCTGCACAAAAATGACTTTGATAGGAAGGAACAATCAGTCTTTTTTTCTCTTTATCATTTTCTATGACCATGATATATTCGTGTTGTAGTTCCCCATGTCGGTCCCATCGAGCCACTTTTTCCAACCCCATTTGATTGTATTCCGTGCGGATTTCCCGTAACATTGTACTTTTTTGTAGATTATTCCTTATGGTAGTTTCCGTTCTCCGAAAACATTACATTGAGTCCCTTTTCGTAACTCTTCTGGCACTCAATGCACGTCTCTGTAGTATTGCGATTCAGCGGACCCATCACCAACCCCGCAAATGTTTGCTTTACCCCGAGTACATACTCGCTCATGACACATCCTGGCGGCACTGTTTCCCCTTTCCTTGCAACAACTTCAAGGGGTATCTGTAACTGGCCAGTAGCCTCCCCGTTTTTTCGAATCAGATTAAGGGCTTCATTACAGGCCCGATTCAATACATCACGTGATGCAGTGGTTTCGGGGATCGAGATGTTTTTTGCATTAAATAGGAATGGGTTTATCCCGTCGACTTCGCTTATCTTGACCGCGACGTGCCCATTAATTTTGGGTAAGTCGAAGTTTTCACACACACACTCAAAGGTGCTGCGTTGTGCGAAAAGCTTTTGATTATGTAGGATGTATCCAGCTGATTTGGCTATACGGCAGACAGCTCGAGCTTTCCTTGTATACAGGTCAGCTAGCGGGGCCGATTGGATATTCCCCACAATCCATTCACGAAGACAGTATTCCACCTTCTTTTTATTAATGTTGGTACAAAACGGGATTTTCCAACAATTTTATTAATGCTGGTATGAAACGGGATTTTAGTACTGGTACAAAACGAGATTTTAGCAATAATTGATGAAAGAGAGCTGATTGAAGATTATATTGGAAGACTGAGAAGGATTGCATTGCCATCGATAACTACCCAACTTATTATTGCTTATACGCTCTATGTACAAAATTCTCAAGGGGTAGAGCAGACAAGAGAAAAGAGAAATAAAACTTTATCCCTTGAGAGAAGAGTGAGAGATTGAAAAATAAGAAAAGGAGGATAAAAGTGACAGAGAGAGAGAAGATAGTATCAGGGAGAGTCTATGGTCAAGATGGCAGGACGAGGGAGACCGAGTTCTTCTGCGGGAACTAAATGAAGAGACTTTGGTAGGTGTTATACGGGAACTGGTATAGAGGGTTGATACTATAAAAGGAGGGTCAGATATTGCAAGAACAAAGAGGTCAGATGAGAGATTTCTATGCTTCAGAGGGTCTAAAGTAAATTATTTCTTACATGAATATGAATTGTTTAGGCTTCGTTATGGCTGGACAAACAAGCAACGGCTTAAACACCTTTTATTTTACTGTGACACTGACTCGAGGTTGGCTGTTCCAGAATTAATGGAAGTGGTCACTACATGGGAAGAGATCAAGGAAACAATGAAAAGAGAATTTGAGAAAGACTCAGTTCCAACTACAGTCAAGGATTTACTCAACATCAGAAGAGCTAAGTATGACACTTTCAATGTTTTTCTCCAAACTTTTATCCGAACAACAAGGAGAATCCTATATTTGGATGAAGCCCAGAGATGCCATATATTTTTTACTAATTTCACTAACACTGAAAGGCAGACAGTCTTCCATCAGGCTAAAAATTACCCTCTCAGATGGGATGAAATTGTTGCAATTTTTATAACCTTGCCTACGGTCTCTCAAAAGAAGTGGTCACTGGATCACATCAGTACGTTGGCTAAGGACTCGGAGACAGAGAATGGTTTATGCAGAGGAAACAATCTGAATGTAAAAACTATTATCCAAAGACTTATGACGAACTACATGTCTGTTAATCATGTTGTGGATGAGAAAGAGAAGAAAATGGTTGAAAGTGATGATGATGAGGACGGTGATGATGATGATGACTATGGTAAAAGAGGTGATTCTTCAAGATCTAAAAAGAATGGAGGAAATGGTGAAAAAGGGAACAGAGAGAGAAGAAAGTACGACGAGCGACTTAAGAAGAAATTTGTCTGCTATTATTGTGGTGAAGGAGGTCACACAACCACTTGCTGTATGCCTTTGGAAGAGGATGTGAAGAGTGGGGTGACAAAAATGGATGCAAAGGGTCATGTTTGTGACAGTTCATGGAACAAATTAAATCCTAGACATCCTGGAGGTATGCGACTTCTTGCCCTTAAGCATGATGAAAAGATGAAGAAAAATAAAAAAAGAAAGGCTAAGGTGAATGTACATACTTTCGTAGGTGAACTGCCTAAGGGACTTATACAAGAGTCTGATGATTCACTTGCCTGGCGGCCTTTCTTTAGGAGAGAATTCTGCTACTCAGATTTTCTCTGAGTTGGTAGTATTTTCTCCTAGCGAATATGTTTGTTCGACTAACATGATGTCATTTGAG